TCAGAAAATGATTAAAGGCTACAAGGGACCACGTGAGAAAACATTGCTATTATTAGACATATAAAGACAATACTGAGTTCTACAAAAACACAGAGAAAGGCACAATAATCTTCCCATATAATCTGCACCTAATATCTCAAAAAGAAACCCAGCTTTTAAAAAGTGAGTAGAGAGCTAATGATGCTGAAGATTAAAAGGCTGGGAATGGTAAGTGGCATTGACTTACAGGGTCTCTCCTCAGAGGAGGATGGACTTCTGCAGTGCTTGCTTGGCTGGGAGTGCAGAGCCACTGAGAGCCACTTAAAGCCAGGTGAGGAAGAGAAGATTGTCTGCCAAAGGCCCCCCCAGAAGACACTGATTACTTTCCCTCTTTCTTGCTTTCTTGTATATGGTGGCATCAAAACAAGATAGTCATCAACTAATTTACCGATATCTTTCTCCTACAAAGTCTGCTAAATGTTGCATTGGCTTTACTGTTTTTCTCTATCTTCACCTTGCCCTGCCTAACTCTTGTTTTGATTAACAAGTCCTCAGTCTCTTCAGTGTGCTTTTGTGATGAAATATAACCATAGAATGATGAGTCACATTGTTTTCCACATTTCCCTTTATACATGAACAAAGTAGTCGATTCTTATCATTTTTAAAATATTTTATTTATTTATTTTTAGAGAGAGGAGAAGGGAAGGAGAAAGAGAGGGAGAGTAACACGGATCATTTGCCTGTCACATGCCCCTAACTGGGGACCTGGCCCTCTCGCCAGGCATGTGCCCTGACCAGGGATGGAACCGGCGACCTTTTGGTTTGCTGAATGACATGCAACTCACTGAACCACAGCAGTCAGGGTGACTGATACTTCTCATTTTGGTATTTTCCTTAATATTTAATTTTATTTACAAAATTATGCAATATAATAATGCACAGTATATCCACCTTTATTTATTCACAATCTTTCACTGAGAAAGTATGTTTTTCCTCTTTTAAAAAGAAAGTATGAGAAAGTAGGAGGTGTAGAAAGATCTCTTTCAGGCAACATGTGAGTAGGATTAACCTACAGGTAAGGAGAACATACGTGTGTAATTTTCTAGATTAGGGATCCAGGAAAACTTGCCCTAGTTAACAGTTCACCAGCTACTATATTTCTTCAGAGAAATTGCTTTAACTTTACGTGCACATTTCCTGTGATTTGCCAGGTTTATGTAAAGACTGACTATAAGGAGAGATTTCCTCAGTCTCATGATACCAGGCAAGCAAGACCTCCACTCCAGGGGATGCTTATGTAGGTGTTGCAGGTTTTCTTGCAGGAGACCTAGATGGATGAAAACAAATTAGGAAAAGGTTTGGAGCTCTGCATTGCAAAGAATTTGGGGAGTGAGCACTGATTTTATTTTTTATTTTTACTAAATAAAGGAGTATATGTTTTTATTGATGAGAGAGAGAGAGTTAGAGAGAGATATCTCAATGTGCCTCGATCAGGAATCTTACCCACAACCTTTTGGTATATGGGATGATGCTCCAACCAACTGAGTCACCTGGCCAGGGCATGAGGACTGATAGTAGTTTTTACTTGAATTTGATAGAGGTGAATTTTCTTTAACTACAAAATTTGATTTGATGAAATTCAAATTATATGAGGCAAAGTAAGTGAAAGGAACTTATAAATAGCAGTGCTATATATGAAGGTAAGGCACACACAACAATAGTTGTTTATGTTTAAAGAGGAAATAGTCACCATTTTTTTACTAAGGTGGAGAAACTGCTTTCTTAAGAAGTTCTCAATGCTTCACCAATCTGGAGAGAGTCCTCAGACTCACTGACTTCGCAAACAATCCAAGTACATTCCTGCACTTTCCTTTCCAATAGGAGACTGGGCCTTAAGGAATTTATTGAAGCACAATACATACAGCAGAACTGGATTTGTGGGCACACATAGGCAAATTTCTTTTGCTAACATATGAGCAGAAACTCTTCATTTTCCTAAAGTGTTTGGATTCCTTTTACTAGCTCTAAGTCTTAAAAATTGCTTTTGTGAAGAATAAGTTATTCCTATTATCTTCCTTTAAAACATATTAATTCAAGTATAGAGCATAGCGCTCTTGATATTGACAGCATCTGAACCCAGCTGTTCAACAGAAATACAAAAGAAATCCTTGAAAGTAATACAGATGATGGACTGTCTATATCTAGGCCTCCATTTGTTTATAGTTTAAAAATCAGTGGGAAAATAATGATCAAAGGCAGGCTAATTCATGCAGGAAACAGCAAGACCACTTCACTTGGCTAGATTCTATAAAGAGTCTTTGACTCAAATGGCTCACACAAAGCAAACATGTCTGTTAGGTTCAGAGTTCTTTCTGGCACTAAATGACCAGTGTAAACAGGAAGACTCTTAGGACTCTTGTAAATTTTAGAAACAAATTGTCCTCATTGCTCAGCACTCAGTCATTTTGATTTTGTGACAAGAGTTGGAATTACTAGTGAAAATTTGGGTTTTAAGTTCAATGCAAAGGTTATTTACCATTACCACAACAGAACGTGTGTGTGTGTGTGTGTGTGTGGTGTGTGTGTGTGTGCATCAGCAGTTTTTATTAAAAGAATGTGAAGGGCCTAATGTTATTTAGTATCCTTAATAGAAGCTGTAAAATTGTATGACCACAAAATCTTGACATCCACCATTGCTAAAGACAAGAACTAAGAATTCCAACTTATGCTGTGATCACCGCTGCAGAGCAAGAATATTAGACAGTTTTCCCAAAGTTGCAATAATGTAATTTTCAAAGAAACCATTCATTATATTTCAGAAAAAAGGCCAGTGAGAATTTTTAGCAGAACCAATGACTATTCTTTATGATGAAAAATATATGATTGTGTCTAATTTCCAGTGGAAACAAATGCATACAGAATTAAATGACATAATGGTGAAATCAACAGTAGATAACTACACAACCAAAACAATAATAATAATAATAATTTTTAAAAAGAGTTCTGAATTTCCTCTAAGAAGAGAAACCGTGCAGTTAGCAGCTTACTTAGCAGTCTGTGAAAGAATATATATTTGAAAGGTAGTGTGTAAGTGATAGCACCCATTTTTGATATCTTTAACGCCTATTTAAAATCTGAGAATCAGATATGTCTCTGAATCAATTTGAGTGGATGTTTCCAGAATACAAAAAGAAATCTCAAACAGCATTTATATTTATTTGGGCCCTCATAAACAACTGCAAAGATTTAAAGTTAAAAGCAAATTGGGGTTGGAGTAAAAGTACAAGATTGTGGTGTTTTCTTCTTTGTTGTTGTTGTTTTGGGGTTTTTTTGTTTGCTTTCTTAAACGTAATCCACAAACCGATCTGCCTTCACCTTGTAAGGGTTGGTCCTTAAAACAAAACAAAACAAAACAAAACAAAACAAAACAAAACAAAAAAGAACCCTTTGGCCTCAGTATCATTAGGGAGCTAAAGCCAGAGCCCCTGAACTTTTCTTTCCCGGAAAAGGAAAGGTGGTGAGGGTGCTGATATGCTGCAGAGGGAAGCACCGTGTAGGATTCTCTTTTCCAGCACACTCTTATTTGCCCCTTACTTCCCACCCCTTCCCCTAAGGTCCGAACAAGTCTGAGGCTTTTTTGGAGCTAAAGCAAGTGCAGTGGGGCCGGTGCTTAGAGCGGCTGCGGGTTTGCAAGGAGGCAAGGTTTGGAACGGAGCAGCTCCACCGAAAACTCTGAGCAAGAGCTGTGCTTGCCCTACGGCGATTCTGTTCTTGGGTTTGTTAAACCTTTCTCCCACTCCCCTTAGCTTTCTGGGAAGCAATTGTCTGGGAAGCAATTGCAGCCAAGTGCAAACAGTATATTTGGCGCAAAGAGCCTGTAGAATGAGGGACAAGGGATAACTCCCTGGTTTTAGGCCAGCCGGCTCCTAGGTAGTGATGTCTGCAGAACTGCCCCCCAGCCCACGAAGCCGCAAACGTGGCCGCAGGTGGCAAGCGGAGCTGTCCAGCACCAGTGTGGAGCCGGCGGGAGCCAGGAGCCCCGCACGCCCAGCAAGGCTGACTCTTGGCAACAGCGCTGTCGCCCGAGCAGACGCTGTCCTCATTCAGTGCCGCCCGGCTCTGGGCTCCCTCCGAGCCCACGCGACCTCCTGAGGAGGAGCACACTCGTCCCCACAAACTGCTTCAGCAAGATAGGTGCCAACATGTTGCCCCTTAGTTTTTGGAAGCGTCTCCTCTGGAATGGGCGGGCTGGACCGGTGGGCCTTTCGCCAAGCCTGAGAACTTCCTAAATAAACTCAAAGGAACGCGGAAAAAGGACAAATATGGACCCTTCCCGTGCCCCCTCCCCTTCACGCTCTCAGGCTTTCCCGAGGAGGATCCCCTCCTTTTCTGCGCCCGCCGGGCCCGTCTGCTCCCCAGCAGTCTCTTCTGCGGGCGAGGGTAGGGTGTTTGGGGTAAGGCCCTTTGGTCAGATCTGAGCTATGGTGCACTCCTTCTCGGAGGAGGAGAAGGTAGGAGCGGGGAGGGCGCGCAGAGGACGGCAACGAAGTGTCCTCATTGCTCCTGAAACGTGGCGACAGGCGAGGCAGAGACTCCCAATGAGTATGATGGCGACACGTGATACGGGCGGAGGGAGAGCATGGGGGGGGGGTGCGGTGTGGATAAAGGGAGAAGGAGGGAGGCGGGCTGCAAAGAGAGGGGCGGGAGGAGAGAGGGAAGGGGGGCGAGATAGGCGCGCAGGCGGTAGAAGCCTGTGCCTCCCTGACAGCACGGGCCGCAGCCCTCTCCGCCGCGCCGCCCACGGTCACACACTTGGAGCGTCTCCGCGAGCCGGAGCGTGTAGCACGGCGATGCGCCGACGCGGGCGCTGAGGCGGCGCCGCGCTAGCAGCAGCAGAATCGGCGGCGGCTCCCTGCCCAGCCCCGCGCAGCCGCCGAGCCCGGGCCCCAAGGTGCGGCGGTGCGGAAGTTCCCGCCATGAGCAACGGGCTCCGCGGCCTCGGAGGCTCCCTCCTGGCTAAGCGCGATCGCAGCGCCCCGTGGCTCCAAAGCGCCTAACGACGCCGCTCGCCGGTCCCGCTGCTGCAGCCTGTGCTGCCACCCGCGTTCCGGCTGCCGCCGCCTCGGCCGCCGCAGCACTGCCATCAGAATGTCTCGAAGGAAGATTTCGTCCGAGTCCTTCAGCTCCCTGGGCTCTGACTACCTGGAGACCAGCCCCGAGGAGGAGGGGGAATGCCCCATGTCCAGGCTCTGCTGGAACGGCAGCCGGAGCCCTCCCGGGCACGCCGAGCCCCGCGCGGCCGCTGCCGCCGCTCCGGCCCCGGCTGCCTCCGCCGCCGCCGCCGCCGCCAACGCTGGGGCAAGGAGGGCGCAGCGCCGGAGGCGGGTCAACCTGGACTCGCTGGGCGAGAGCATCAGCCGCCTGACTGCACCCTCGGTGAGCCGGGGCGGAAGGAGGGCCGGCGCGTCCGGAGAGAGTACGGGGATCGGGAAAGTTGGCGCCGGGCGAGCGAGACGGGCGCGCAGAACCCGACCGCTGGGGGGCGGCCCGGTGTCACCCCACCAGGCCTGGGGCTCCCCGTGGCCCCGGGCGACACCCCATCCCTGGGCTCTGAGGGAATGGGGCTTAGCGCACGCTAAAGGAGTAAGACTTCGCTCTCCTGGGGTCTCCTGATTCGAGGGCCCGCCGGCCCACCTCTAGCCTTTCACCCTTTTGACTGCGACGGCCCCAGCGCTCCTTCACACCCACCTGTTTTCTTTGCCCCAAACTTTCCCAGGCACTGTGTCCCGCAGTTCTCATTTCCATGTGTTTCATCTCTGTTCTCCCAAAGGGGCGCTTACCCCTTCCAGGAAACGCTTCCTCTCTTTTTTTCCCACACTCTTGGTCTTCTTAGCGTGACCTCCTCTGACATCTTTGAATTCCACAGCCTCTTTGCATTCTCTGTTGCATCCCTTTTCTCAAGTCTTCAGGAACTGGCTGTCAGATACTTTTTGAGTTGCCTTCTAACAAAAAACCCCCTCTAATCCCCTTTCTCCCCATCTCATAGCCTTTTTAATTATTCACTGAGCATGGTTGGCTCAACGTTTTTCTCTGGGCAACCCTGGTGTCTGGTTTTCTAAACTTCTCTGGTATTTCTTGCACCCGGACCGCAAACCTTCGCTCTGTTTTCCCTGAATTCTTCAGTGCTTACTCACTCATGTTTTTTTGTGCCTTCCTTATATTAAGATCTTCATAAATATCTGTTGAATGAATAAATGCCTTCCCAACCCTCTGAACTTAGGCTCATTTCGCGATGTCTGTATCAACAGTTCCAGGTATCTGCTGGACTCGCCCCGGTTCTAGGTATTCTTCAGAACACTTCTGCTCATTCTTGCTGAGGCATTTCCGCTACCCTTGACATATGCCATTTGCAGGAATGCCAGACCTGTATTTTAGTCGTTCTCTGTCAGTATGACCTCTGTTTCAAAGGAATCCACACCATTGCAGATGAATCAGAAGGAAATGCAGTGTTAAACCTCCATCCACCTTTTATTCCCTCCCTGACCTTGGACAAAAGGACTTCAACTCCTGACAGCAGTTTTACCTACTTACTCTCTTTTGGGACTTTTACTTCTTTGAAGTTTCCAGAATGAATCTGAACTTTGACCTTGTTTGACTACTCTTGAGTCTCCTTTTGAAAATACTCTTGCAATTGATGGAAGGGGGGACCTGACAAGGAATGGCATCCTGAGGGGCTGGGCACTGATACCAGGGAGTCCTGCAAATATCTTGGTGGCCCTTGCGTTAATGGGGTATGACTTTTTCTTTTAACAATGAAACTATTCTTCCGTCACCTTCCTTTTCTTATATGTTAGCCCTTTGGTTTACTTTTCTGCCACTTCTTCCTTTGATAACCTACACAATGGGTTGGCTACTGTTTCCTATTCTTCACTGCAGATATTTCTCAGGAAGTGTGATTTTAGGAGCTATTTGATGTTGCAAGTTGTTGAACATAGTGTTTATTAAAGGAGTCCAGTAATCCTGTGCATTGGTAGTTTTGTGTCAGTACCTGAAGCACATTTATGTGCTAATTCTTCAGTACAATGGATTCGTATCTGAATACAATGATTTTACTGAAGATAATCATTAGTTTGGGGGGAGTGTTTTTTTTTAATGAAGACTCAGAACTTATGAATTTCTAAAAAGTATTGGCAGTACCTCTGGTAATGCCAGTTTAATTTAACACTCTTTTCAACAACTTACATGTAGATAAAATACACAGAACTCAGGTATTTACTACCAGAATAAGAGGGAAGAAATACTCTCTGATTTTAACCTTTATCCGTCATATTTGAGTGACTCTGACATTTTGCTGGATAAAAAACCTCTACCTATGTAATGGTTTTTAGGATGAGAAACTTGAAAATAATTATGGTGATGTAATATATATAACACCTATATGTACTTTTCATGCTGTAAGTCTTTTCTATTTTGAAAAGGATCTGTCAGCTGGAATGCTCAGAATATACTGGTGAAAATAGTATAAACATTTTCAACCTCACAGGGCATGTATAAAAAATTCCCACTGGCTAACTATATCGCCAGTAGACTTAGCAATACAAAGAGAACACAGGTTATATTTCAAAGCAGTGACTTGTTTCTGTGGTTCTCACCACCCTCCCCTCATCTTTATTTGGTAAGCTAGAACATTACTTCAAAAAGTTCTAGTAGATTCACCCTCCTACATCGACAGAATTCTAAACTTCTCTGAAAACACTTGTGGAAACAGGATCTGTCCTGTCTTTTACAGAGCTGAAGGACTTAAAAAAAGTCTCTGAGAATAGTCATTACCAGGGCATTCTTACGTGGAATTTTCTAGGTTTTTTTTTTTTTATTGTTATGAGCTTTCTTGAATTCATTACAATATATTTCAGGAGAAACTATACTTGCTACGGAAGCTAGCTTTTTCCTAGCTGCCTCATCATGGAATATTGTCTTAATCACTGGGAATTTGTTCTTTATTCAGAACAATTTGCAAATAAGAAAATGGAAACGAATTTCATAAATACCAGAATATCGCCAAGTAATTGAACTAGATATTTGATCAATGGAGTAGTCAAACTCTGATTTTTGATATTTAAAAGTTATATATATATATCACTGCTCGTTATAAAGATCATAACAAATTACACCATTTTAATGGTAAAGTAAATTGAATTGATAAAATTGAAAAATATTCAAGAGACCTGGTTCTCATTCCTTGTACCTTGGACGACTGAACATTTCTGTATCTCTACGCATATTATTTTAAGTCTCTAGGATCCTCCTCATTTGTAAGGTGTTACCTAAAGCCCCTCCCTATTCTGGGGTTCTACGGAGATACATAGTATATTATCAAGCTTTTGATAAACTGCCATAATGCCATATGAAAGAAAAATAAACACATATTATGAGCTTTAAAACTTTGAAGGAAGTAGAGTACATTCTTAAATAAGGGGATTACACTCATATTTATGCCACCCAATTATTAAAAGATGTTTGAGGCCCTCCATGTGGCAAGTATTATGCAAAGCACTGGCAATGCAATAGCCAGAAAAAAATATTCCCAGTCTTTGACCTCATATGACTTTTTTAATTATAGTCTTTATCTTAAGGAAACTGTACTGAGTGAAATCATAAGAGTGCCAATTGTCTTGGGGATGTCGGAGGTAAGTTTATATATTGTCCACTTTGGGTATTTTGTTCACTATGGATCTGTGGAGTGCAGCCATAACAATAAAAATAACCCTGAAGATGTGACTTGAAGATGCATAAATCACTTATTATGTTATTTATTTGGAAGTAATTTACTTGGGAACACATATGGAGGAACAGCTGGGGATTTTACATCAAGGGTGAATTTAGTAACTCATCTATTTCTATTTTATTCTTATAAATGAGAGTTGCTTAGAACCCTATCACTTTGTCATCGGTTTTGGGTTTGCTAGTGTCAGCCTGTCAGTGAAGATACTCCAGGAGACCAGCAGAAGGGCAAGGCTTCCCTAGTTTTCTTGTCAGACGACCACTGGCTATTACAACATTGCAGGTGGCTTTGAAGACTTGAGAAGCTACCGAGAACTGAATGGCAAGGAAGAAAAGTAGCAGAAGTGGAAGGATGACAATAAGGGGAGGAAAGCTGCTGACAGAGGATAGCCCAAGAAAATGGGAGAACAGTGAGCAAAGACAGAAAATGAAGGGAAGTCTGGATTCAAGCACCGAAAATGAAAAAATGATTTCATTATTTTAGGAACGGTATTGTATTGATACAAGCCTATGAGAAAGTGAAAGGACATAAACATACATATTTAGCCTCCTCCGAAATTACAATTAGCTCTCTGACATGTGTAAACTATTAAAGAAAGCCTTGACAGTGTGAGTGTAACTGTCATGTAAATAATGAAAAATATATAAAATACATTTGTGAGGTAGGATATTTGATAAATTTCTGTATCTTAATTGAAGTTTTTAAAATGCGGGCTCAATTTAGCTAACAAAGTTCTAAGGAACAGATTCATTACCATTAGAAAATTAAACAAAATATATTCCAGTAGTTTAATATTTTCACATTTGTAAAAAATAGATACCATAATTTAAAATCAGAATTTAATGGCCACTTACTACTTTTCTCTACCACAGAGTTCAGAGTTTGAGTCATGGGTTTGAAAAACCACCTCCTGAGCCCCTTTATGAATGTGAGACCCTGGGAACACCAACTCTTATCTTCTTGGAGCCTTAGTTTCCAATTTTGTAAAATAGGAATAATAACAACTTTGTAGATTTGTTGTGAAAGAGGAGGAATATTCTTTTAAAACTCCTTGGACTCAAGAAATGATAGTTTTGGGCGAAGATCCATTAATTTCAACTAAATTTGAATGCCTCCGACTGATCTAACATTTCCTTTTTTTTCCTCAGTAATTTACTTGCTAGTAACCTTATTAAGTAGTTCATAGGTTAACTGATGTCATATATCTAAGAAAGAAAAAAGTGATAAGAAGTGGTTTGTTTTGTTGGCATTGCCCAGTCAACCCATTAAAAAAAATTAAAACTGGAGTTCTTTTCTGGATCCCTGGCTATGACTCGTGTGTGTACACAAGCGTACGCAATCACTGTGGCTTTAAACATTTTTATCAAAGTGCAGGGTGTTGTGTGGCAATAGGAAAACCACTATTATAAATTTTATAAGAATACAAGAACATATATATTTGGTAGAATGTAGATATTTCACAACAAATTACTTATAAATTAGAAAAAATTAGGTGAAAGAGAAACTGCTTATTTCATTTGCCTGAGAATTTCAAGCATTCCCCATCCATTGCATTCAAACTAATTTGTACATGTGTTCAAAGTGTCAGGCTATGAGATGCAACAAGTACCTAGCTGATGGCATTTTTGTTTTGTGTACAGCACTCTTCTTGTTT